GTATGCATTGGGGTCAATGGGGAGGCATTGGCGGATGGCGGCGTTGGTACCGGCCTCGCCGACCTTGGGGGTGAAGTTCTGGATGCTGGAATACAGGGAATGGGGTGGGAATGGTATTGGGGTCAATGGGGAGCCATTGGGATGCATTGGGTTCGATTGGGAGCCATTGGGATGCATTGGGGTCAATGGGGATGCATTGGGGTCAATGGGGAGGCATTGGCGGATGGCGGCGTTGGTACCGGCCTCGCCGACCTTGGGGGTGAAGTTCTGGATGCTGGAATACAGGGAATGGGGTGGGAATGGTATTGGGGTCAATGGGGAGTCAATGGGATCGATTGGGAGTCAATGGGGTCGATTGGGAGCCATTGGGATGCATTGGGTCCATTGGGATGCATTGGGGTCAATGGGGAGGCATTGGCGGATGGCGGCGTTGGTACCGGCCTCGCCGACCTTGGGGGTGAAGTTCTGGATGCTGGAATACAGGGAATGGGGTGGGAATGGTATTGGGGTCAATGGGGAGTCAATGGGATCGATTGGGAGTCAATGGGGTCGATTGGGAGCCATTGGGATGCATTGGGTCCATTGGGATGCATTGGGTCCATTGGGAGCCATTGGGATGCATTGGGGTCCATTGGGATGCATTGGGTCCATTGGGATGCATTGGGGTCAATGGGGAGGCATTGGGTCGATTGGGAGCCATTGGGATGCATTGGGTCCATTGGGAGCCATTGGGATGCATTGGGTCAATAGGGGGTCATTGGGGTCAATGGGGAGCCATTGGGGTGCATTGGGGTCCATTGGGATGCATTGGGTCCATTGGGATGCATTGGGGTCAATGGGGAGGCATTGGGTCCATTGGGAGCCATTGGGATGCATTGGGTCCATTGGGATGCATTGGGGTCAATGGGGAGGCATTGGCGGATGGCGGCGTTGGTACCGGCCTCGCCGACCTTGGGGGTGAAGTTCTGGATGCTGGAATACAGGGAATGGGGTGGGAATGGTATTGGGGTCAATGGGGAGTCAATGGAACCCATCAGCTCCCCATTGGAACCCATTGGAACCCATCGAATCCCATTGGAACACATCAGAACCCATCGGAATCCCATTGGAACCCATCAGATCCCCATTGGAACACATCAGAACCCATCGGAACCCATTGGAACCCATCAGAACCAACAAATCCCATTGGAACCCATTGGAACCCATTGTAATCCCATCAGAACCCATTGGAATCCCCATTGGAACTCATCGGATCCCATTGGAACCCATCAGAATCCCATTGGAACCCATCAGAACCCATTAGAATCCTATTGGAACCCATTGCAACCCATCGGATCCCATTGGAATCCCATTGGAACCCATCGGATCTCATTGGAATCCCATTGGAACCCATCGGAACCCATTCGAATCCCATTGGAACCCATCAGAATCCATCGAATCCCATTGGAATCCCATTGGAACCCATCTGAAGCCATTGGAACCCATCAGAATCCATTGGAATCCCATTGGAACCCATCTGAACCCATTGGAACCCATCAGAATCCATTGGAATCCCATTGGAACCCATCGGCTCCCCATTGGAATCCCATTGGAACCCATCGAATCCCCATTGTCTCTCCATTGGAACCCATCGGAACCCATTGGAACCCCATCGGCTCCCCACTGAAATCCCATTGGAACCCATTGGAACCCATCGGAGCCCATCAGATCCCATTGGACCCCATTGGAATCCCATTAGATCCCATTGGAACCCCATTGGAATTCCATTGGACCCCATTGGAACCCCATTGTACCCCATTGGAACCCATTGTACCCCATTGGAACCCCATTGTACCCCATTGGAACCCCATTGGATCCCATTGGAACCCCACTGTACCCCGTTGAAATCCCATTGGATCCCATTGGAACCCCATTGGAATCCCATTGGAACCCCATTGGAACCCATTGGAACCCCATTGGACCCCATCGGAACCCCATTGGACCCCATTGGAACCCCATTGGACCCCATTGGAACCCCATTGTACCCCATCGGAACCCCATTGTACCCCATTGGAACCCCATTGGAACCCCATTGTACCCCATTGGAACCCCATTGTACCCCATTGGAACCCATTGTACCCCATTGGAACCCCATTGTACCCCATTGGAACCCCATTGTACCCCATTGGAACCCCATAGGCTCCCAGTCACCTGAAGGTGATCTCCTGCTGGTCCCACTTCATGCCCTGGATGGCGAAGCGCCGGCGCCGAACGTTGGCCTTGAGCTCGGGGCCGAACTTATCCGGGACCCCACAACGGGGCCGGCGCATGGCCCTAAGCAATGGGAATGATGGGAATGGGGTGGGAGCGGTTATGGGGCGGGGGGGGGGGGGTTGGAGGGTAGGGGTAAGCACAAAAACCAACTGGAAGGGGACCAAAACCCAACTGGGAGCCAACTGGAAGGCCCAAAACTCAACTGGAAGACCCCAAAACCCAACTGGAAAGCCCAAAACCCAACTGGAACCCAACTGGAACCCAACTGGAAGACCCAAAAAACAACTGGAACCCAACTGGAAGGCCCAAAACCCAACTGGAAGGGGCCCAAAAAACAACTGGAACCCAACTGGAAGGCCCAAAACTCAACTGGAGCCCAACTGGAAGGCCCAAAACCCAACTGGAACTCAACTGGAAGGCCCAAAACCAAACTAGAGCTCAACTGGAAGGCCCAAAACCCAACTGGAACCCAACTGGAAGGCCCAAAACTCAACTGGAACCCAACTGGAAGACCCAAACCCAACTGGAAGGGGCCCAAAACCCAACTGGGACCCAACTGGAAGGCCCAAAACCCAACTGGGACCCAACTGGAAGACACAAAACTCAACTGGAGCCCAACTGGAAGGCCCAAACCTCAACTGGAACGCCCAAAACCCAACTGGAACCCAACTGGAACCCAACTGGAAGACCCAAAACCCAACTGGAACCCAACTGGAAGGGGCCCAAAACCCAACTGGAGCCCAACTGGAAGACCCAAAACCCAACTGGAACCCAACTGGAAGACCCAAACCCAACTGGAAGGGGCCCAAAACCCAACTGGAACCCAACTGGAAGACCCAAAACCCAACTGGAACCCAACTGGAAGACCCAAAACCCAACTGGGACCCAACTGGAAGGCCCAAAACCCAACTGGAACCCAACTGGAACCCAACTGGAAGGCCCAAAACCCAACTGGAACCCAACTGGAATGCAAGTGGAAGGCCCAAAACCAACTGGAACCCAACTGGAACCCAACTGGAAGGCCCAAAACCCAACTGGGACCCAACTGGAAGACCCAAAACCCAACTGGAACCCAACTGGAAGGCCCAAAACCCAACTGGAACCCAACTGGAACCCAACTGGAAGGCCCAAAACCCAATTGGAACCCAACTGGAACCCAACTGGAAGGCCCAAAACCCAACTGGGACCCAACTGGAAGACCCAAAACCCAACTGGAACCCAACTGGAAGACCCAAAACCCAACTGGAACCCAACTGGAAGGCCCAAAACCCAACTGGAACCCAACTGGAACCCAACTGGAAGCCCCAAAACCCATTGGAACCCTTCCAAGACCCCATGGGGACCCCCATACCCCCCCCCCATGTAACTCACCGGATGGTTTCGGGGTCGGGCCGGGAGGTGACGCGCAGCCCATAGAGGCGCTGCATTGCGGCGTATGCGGCCGGTAGGGAATGCGGGGAGCGCTGCGCCTGTGCCCGTAGGTCCCCGGGGGGCAGGTACCCGTACTGCTGGAGCCAGGCCTGGGGGAGCCCATGATAACCCGTCATCCATCCCATAATAACCCATCGCGACCCATTGGCGTCCATTATCCATCGTCACCCATCCCATAATAACCCATTGAGACCCATTGGCATCCATTATCCATCGTCATCCATCCCATAATAACCCATTGCGACCCATCGGCATCCATTATCCATCGTCATCCATCCCATAATAACCCATTGAGACCCATTGGCATCCATTATCCATCGTCATCCATCCCATAATAACCCATTGCGACCCATCGGCATCCATTATCCATCCCATAATAACCCATTGAGACCCATCGGCATCCATTATCCATCGTCATCCATCCCATAATAACCCATTGCGACCCATCGGCATCCATTATCCATCCCATAATAACCCATTATCACTATCCATCCCATAATAACCCATTATCACCATCACCATCCATCCCATAATAACCCACCATCATCATCACCATCGTCATCATCCATCCCATAATAACCCATTACCCTCCATCCCATAATAACCCATTATCACCATCACCATCCATACCATAATAACCCATCATCATCATCACCGTCGTCACCATCCATCCCATAATAAACCAGTATCATCACCATCCATCCCATAATAACCCATTGTCACCATCACCATCTATCCCATAATAACCCGTTGTCACCATCACCATCCATCCCATAATAACCCATTACCCTCCATCCCATAATAACCTGTCATCACCATCACTGTCGTCACCATCCATCCCATAATAAACCAGTATCATCACCATCCATCCCATAATAAACCCTTATCATCACCATCCATCCCATAATAAACCCTTATCATCACCATCCATCCCATAATAAACCCCATCCATCCCATAATAACCCACCAGCAGCATCACCCCACCCCAAATGCCCCATAGGGACCACACCAGCCCCCTATAGGGCCCTTAAACACTCCATAGATGCCCATGAGGGGCGTTTAAGAGCGTTTAAGGGGGGGTTTAAGAGCGTTTAAGGGGGGTTTAAGAGCGTTTAAGGGGGGTTTAAGAGCGTTTAAGGGGGTTTAAGAGCGTTTAAGGGGGTTTAAGAGCGTTTAAGGGGGTTTAAGAGCGTTTAAGGGGGTTTAAGAGCGTTTAAGGGGGGTTTAAGAGCGTTTAAGGGGGTTTAAGAGCGTTTAAGGGGGTTTAAGAGCGTTTAAGGGGGTTTAAGAGCGTTTAAGGGGGTTTAAGAGCGTTTAAAGGGGGTTTAATAATGTTTAAGGGGGTTTAAGGGGGGTTTAAGAGCTTTTAAGGGGGTTTAAGGGTGTTTAAGGGGGTTTAAGAGCGTTTAAGGGGGGTTTAAGGTGTTAAGGGGGTTTAGAGCGTTAAGGGGGTTTAGAGCGTTAAGGGGGTTTGGAGCGTTAAAGGGGGTTAATAATGTTAAGGGGGTTTAAGGGGGTTTAAGAGCTTTTAAGGGGGTTTTAAGGGTTTAAGGGGGTTAAGAGCGTTAAGGGGGGTTGAGGCGTTTAAGGGGGTTTAGAGCATTTAAGGGGGTTTAAGAATGTTAAGGGGGTTTAAGGGGGGTTTAGAGCTTTAAGGGGGTTGAGGGTGTTAAGGGGGTTTGAGAGTTTAAGGGGGGTTAAGAGTTTTAAGGGGGTTAAGAGCGTTTAAGGGGGTTTGAGAGCGTTGAGGGGGTTAAGAGCGTTTAAGGGGGGTTTAAGGCGTTAGAGGGGTTTAGAGCGTTAAGGGGGTTTTAGAGCGTTAAGGGGGGTTTAAGAGCGTTTAAGGGGGGTTTAGAGCGTTGAGGGGGTTAGAGGCATTTAGGGGGGTTAGAGCTTAAGGGGGTTTGAGAGCATTTAAGGGGGTTAAGAGAGTAAGGGGGGTTTAGAGCGTTGGGGGTTTAAGGGCGTTAAGGGGTTTAGAGCGTAAGGGGGTTAAGAGCATTAGAGGGATTGAGGCGTTTAAGGGGGTTTAAGAGCGTTTAGGGTTAAGAGCATAAGGGGGTTTGAGCATTAAGGGGGTTTAGAGCGTTAAGGGGTTTAAGAGCGTTGGGGGTTTGAGCATTGAGGGTTTAAGAGCGTTAAGGGGGTTAAGAGCGATGGGGTTTAAGAGCGTTAAGGGGGTTTAAGAGCATTAAGGGGTTTGAGAGCGTTGAGGGGTTTAAGAGCGTTTAAGGGGGGTTTAGAGCGTTGAGGGGGTTTAGAGCGTTTAAGGGGGTTTAAGAGCGTTAAGGGGGTAGAGCGTTAAGGGGACTAAAGAGCGTTAGAGGGGTTTGAAGCGTTTAGGGGGGTTTGAGTGTTTAAGGGGGTTTGAGCTTTTAAGGGGCGTTTAAAGACGTTTGAGAGCAGATAAATTTGAAGCTTAAGGGTTAATTAAAGAGGGAATAAGCTTTAAGGGGTTTGAGCGTTAAAGGGGGGTAAGAGCGTTGAGGGTTTAGAGCGTTTAAGGGGACTTAAGCATTTAAGGGGGTTAAGAGCTTTAAGCTTTAGAGCGTTTAAGGGGTTTTAATAGCGTTTAGTGGGGTTTAAGAGTGTTTAAGGGGGTTTAAGAGCTTTTAAGGGGCGTTTAAAGACGTTTAAGAGCATTTAAGGGGGGTTTAAGAGCGTTTAAGGGGCATTTAAGAGCGTTTAAGGGGGGCCTAAGAGCGTTTAAGGGGGGGTTAAGAGCGTTTAAGGGTCTTTTAAGAGCGTTTAAGGGCATTTGAGAGTGTTTAAGGGGGTTTAAGGGGCATATAAGGGCGTTTAAAGAGGTTTAAGAGGAGTTTATGGGCGTTTAAGTGTGATTAAAGAGGGTTTAAGGGTGTTTAAGTGTTTTTAAGGGGTGTTTAAGAGCGTTTAAGGTTCGTTTCAGGGCTTTTAAAAGCATTTGAGGGCGTTTAAGTGGCGTTTAAAGGCGTTTAAAGAGGTTTAAGAGGCATTTATGGGCGTTTAAGGGCGATTAAAGGGTGTTTAAGGGTGTTTAAGGTTCGTTTAAGGGTTTTTAAGGGCATTTAAGGGCGTTTAAGTGGCGTTTAAAGGCGTTTAAGAGCGTTTAAGGGTGTTTAAGGGAGTTCAAGGGGCGTTTAAGGGTGTTTAAAGGCATTTAAAGGGTGTTAAAGGGAGTTTAAGGGTGTTTAAGGGCATTTAAGGGTATTTAAAGGCATTTAAAGGGTGTTTAAGGGAGTTTAAGGGTGTTTAAGGGCGTTTAAGGGTGCTTAAAGGCATTTAAGGGTGTTTAAAGGCTTTTAAGGGAGTTTAAACGCGGTTAAGTGTCATTTCAAGGCGTTTAAGGGAGGTTTAAGTGTGTTTAAGGGCCCTTTGAGGGACTTAAAGTGTGTTTAAGTGGAATTTAAGGGTGTTTAAGAGCATTTAAGGGGGGCTTAAGGGCGTTTAAGGGGCTTTTAAATGGACTTAAGAGGAGTTTATGGGAGTTTAAGGGGGTTTAGGAGGGGTTTAAGGGCATTTAAGGGGGGTTAAAATGGGTTTAAAAAGGGCTTACGGGTGTTTAGAGAGGTTATGGGGCAATTAAGGGGCGTTTAAGAGCGTTTAAGGGCGTTTAAGGGGATTTAGGAAGGGCTTAAGAGGGGTTAGGAGGGGTTTAAGGGAGTTTAAGGGGGTTTGAGAGGGGTTTTAAAGGGGTTTATGGGCATTTAAGGGGGTTATGGGGTATTTAAGGGGCGTTTAAGAGCGTTTAAGGGGAATTAGGAAGGGCTTAAGGGGGTTTAGAAGGGGTTTAAGGGCGTTTGGGGGGGTTAAAATGGGTTTAAAAAGGATTTATGGGCGTTTAAGGGGGTTTAAGAGGGGTTTTAAAGGGGTTTATGGGCATTTAAGGGGGTTATGGGGTATTTAAGGGGCGTTTAAGAGTGTTTAAGGGGAATTAGGAAGGGCTTAAGGGGGTTTAGGAGGGGTTTAAGGGCATTTAGGGGTGTTAAAATGGGTTTAAAAGGGGTTTATGGGCGTTTAAGGGGGTTTAAGAGGCTTTTAAAGGGGTTTATGGGCATTTAAGGGGGTTATGGGGCACTTAAGGGGCGTTTAAGGGGATTTAGAAAGGGCTTAAGGGGGTTTAAGAGGGGTTTTAAAGGGGTTTATGGGCATTTAAGGAGGTTATGGGGCATTTAAGAGCGTTTAAGGGGGTTTAAGAGGGGTTTAAAAGGGGTTTATGGAGGCTTATAGGGGTTATGGGGTTTTTAAGGGGGTTTAAGGGGGTTTAAGAGGGGTTTATAGGCGTTTAGGGGTGGCTATGGGGCTTTTAAGGTGGGTTTATGGGGGTCTAAAGGGGTTTATGGGGTGTTCTTGGGGGTTTAAAGGGCGTTTAAGGGTACCCAAAGGGGTTTAAGAGAGGCTATGGGGCATCATGGGGGTATTCCAGGGTCCCTATGGGGTCTAATAGGGGGTGTATGGGGGTTTAAAGGGGTTTATGGGGGCTTCAAAGGGCGTTTAAGGGCGTTTGGGGCCGTTTAAGGGGGTCTGTGGGGTGATAGGGGGTGTTTAGGGGGTGTTTAAGGGGTTTAGGGGGAGTTTAAAGGGGATTGGGGCAGTTTAAGGGTGTTTAAGTGGGGTTTAAGGGGGATTTAGGGGCGTTTAAGGGCTTTTAATGGGGCTTTAAGGGCATTTACGGGCGTTTAAGGGGGTTTTAAGTGGGCTTTAGGGGCGTTTAAGAGCATTTAAGGGGGATTTAAGGGGCGTTTAAAGGGTGTTTAAGGGCGTTTAAGGGGGGTTTAAGAGCGTTTAAGGGGGTTTAAGGGGGATATAATGGCATTTAAGGGCGTTTAAGGGGGTTTTAAGGGGGCTTTAAGGGCGTTTAAGGGCGTTTAAGGGGGGTTTAAGGGCGTTTATGGGGGTTTAAGGGGGGTTTTAAGGGAGTTTAAGAGCATTTAAGGGGGGTTTAAGAACGTTTAAGGGGGTTTAAGGGCGTTTAAGGGGGTTTAAGGGGGCTTTAAGAGCGTTTAAGGGCATTTAAGGGGGATTTAAGGGCATTTAAGGGGGGTTTAAGGGGCTTTAAGGGGGTTTTAAGGGGGCTTTAGGGGCGTTTAAGGGGGATTTAAGGGGGCTTTAAGGGCATTTAAGGGCATTTAAGGGGGCTTTAAGGGCGTTTAAGAGCGTTTAAGGGGGTTTAAGGGCGTTTAAGAGCGTTTAAGGGGGGTTTAAGAGCGTTTATGGGGGTTTAAGAGTGTTTAAGGGGCGTTTAAAAGCTTTTAAGGGGAGTTTTAGAGCGTTTAAGGGGGTTTAAGGGCGTTTAAGGGCGTTTAAGGACGTTTAAGGGCGTTTAAGAGCGTTTAAGGGCGTTTTAAGGTGGCTTTAAGGGGCTTTAAGGGCTTTTAAGGGCGTTTAAGGGGGGTTTAAGAGCACTTAAGGGGGGTTTAAGAGCGTTTAAGAGCGTTTAAGGGGGGTTTAAGAGCGTTTAAGGGGGGTTTAAGAGCGTTTAAGGGGGATCTAAGAGCGTTTAAGGGGGGTTTAAGAGCGTTTAAGGGGGGTTTAAGGGCGTTTAAGTGGGGTTTAAGGGCTTTTAGGGCGGTTTAAGAGCACTTAAGGGCGGTCTAAGAGCGTTTAAAGCCATTTAAGCACCGTTTGGGGTCTTCTGGGGCGTTTGGGGGGGGGGAGGGGGGGCGTTTTGCGCCGCTTTCGACGGAATTCAAAGCGGTTTTGGGGCGAAAAACGCCGGAAAAGGGGAAGTTCCGGATGGGGGGAGGGGAAAAACGGATTTCGATCGGTTTCGGGGGGTGTTTTTGGCCGTTTTTGGGGTGTTTTTGAGCGTTTTTGAGCGTTTTTGGGGTGGTTTTGGGGTTTTTGGGGTGTTTTAGGAGGGGGGGGAGGGGGAAGAGGAAGGAGCCAAGGGGGAAACGTGGCCGAAGGGGAAGGGGGGGGGAAACGGGAACAAAGGAATGGGAACGTTGGCGAGCGGAGGAGGGCGGGAAAACACGGCCCCAGCCCCATAGAAACCCCATAGAAACCCATAGAGACCCATAGAGACCCCATAGAGACCCATAGAGACCCATAGAGACCCATAGGGGGCACCCGCAGCCCCATAGATCCCCATAACGGACCCCCTAAGTGCTTAGGGGTCCCTCTGGACCCATAGGAGCCCATGGAGGAGCATCCTCAGCGCCATACACGCCTATGGGGGGGGGGACCCCCAGTTCGTTGGCGAGCCCCATAGACCCAGTTAAAGGGGTCCCGCAGCCCCATAGATCCCTATGGGCACAGCCCCATAGGTCCCTATAGCAACCATCGCTATAAGTCACATAGATCCGTATACAGCCCCATAGATCCCCATAGGGCATCCCCATAGATCCCTATAGGAGCATCCCTCACCCCCCCACAACCCCCATAGATCCCAATGGGAACCCCTCCGTCCCTATACACAAGGAGACCTCCAGCCCCATAGCTCCCTATAGGACCCCCCCCTCGCCCCATTTCCCAGCCCCATAGCGCTCACCTCGGGGCTGAAGCGCTGCTCTAGGGCAGCGGGGGGGGGCAGGACCCCCATTAACAGCAACAGCAGCATCGGGGCCATGGCGATGGGGCTGAACGGGACCTATGGGGAGAAAAGGGGGGGGGGAGGGAAAGGGGGCGGAGCAATCGGGGGGGGTGGGTGGGCGGGGCTTGGTGTTTTGGGGAAGGGGGCGGAGCTTCGGGGTTAGAACAGCATCCAATAGGGGAGGGGTTTGAACCGCCGAGCCGATAGGGGGCGCTATAATAGAACCCAATGGGGGGGTTAAACCACCGAGCCGATAGGGGGCGCTATAATAGAACCCAATGGGGGGGTGGTTAAACCACCGAGCCGATAGGGGGCGCTATAATAGAACCCAATGGGGGGGGGGGGTTAAACCACCGAGCCGCTAGGGGGCGCTATAATAGAACCCAATGGGGGGGGTTAAACCACCGAGGCGCTAGGGGGCGCTATAATAGAACCCAATAGGGGGGGGGTTAAACCACCGAGCCGCTAGGGGGCGCTATAAGGACTCGATTCCCCTCCCCCCCCCCATATCCTTTCCCCTCCCCCATCCATTTTGGGGGTGACGTCATCGCGGGGGGGGGGAAGAGGGGGGAGGGGGTGCACGTGACAGTGAGAACAACAAGGCATCCCATAATAGGCTGAAGGGAGGTCATCACCCCCCCCCCCAACCCCCCCACCCCTACATCGCTCCATAGAGATGCATTGGAGGGGGGGGGGGCTATGGGGTACTTATGGGGCTCTATGGGGTCTATGGGGCTCTATGGGGTGTCTATGGGTCTCTATGGGGCTCTATGGTCTCTATGGGTATCTATGGGTCTCTATGGGGCTCTAAGAGATCTCTATGGGGGCTTTATGGGGGCTCTATGGGGTGTCTATGGGTCTCTATGGGTCTCTATGGGGTCTCTATGGGTCTCTATGGGGTCTCTATGGGGTTCTATGGGTCCCTATGGGTCTCTATGTTTCTCTATGGGTCTCTATGGGGTCTCTATGGGGGCTCTATGGGGCTCTATGGGGTTCTATGGGGCTCTATGGGTCTCTATGGTCTCTATGGGGTCTCAGGTCCTATGGTCCAGGTCTCTATGGGTCTATGGGTCCCTATGGGTCTCTATGGGGTCTCTATGGGGCTCTATGGGTCCCTATGGGGCTCTATGGGGTCTCTATGGGGCTCTATGGGTCTCTATGGGGCTCTATGGGTCCCTATGGGTCTCTATGGGGTCTCTATGGGTCCCTATGGGTCCCTATAGGGCACTCAAGCCCCGCCTTCTCCCCGCCCCCTTAAATTGCCCCCCTCCCTTTGCAGCCGTTGCCCCTTTAAGAGCGGCGGGAGGGGGCGTGGCCCGGGGGCGTGGTGACGTGGGAGGGGGCGTGGCCTGCAGGGAGCGGGCGGGGCTTGGCCGCGGGGAGCAGCCGGAGAGGTGGGAATGGGAATGGGGGGCAATGGGGATCAATGGGGGGCAATGGGGGCAATGGGGGCAATGGGGGGCAATGGGGGGCAATGGGGGCAATGGGGGGCAATGGGGGCAATGGGGCTCAATGGGAGACTGGGTTGCTATGGGGCATAGTGGGTCTCAATGGGTCTCTATGGGTCTCTATGGGTCCCTATGGGGTCTCTATGGGTCCCTATGGGTCTCTATGGGTCTCTATGGGGTCTCTATGGGTCTCTATGGGTCTCTATGGGTCCCTATGGGTCTCTATGGGGTGTCTATGGGTCTCTATGGGGTCTCTATGGGTCTCTATGGGTCTCTATGGGTCTCTATGGGGTGTCTATGGGTCTCTATGGGTCCCTATGGGTCTCTATGGGTCTCTATGGGGTCTCTATGGGTCCCTATGGGTCCCAACGCCTCTCTATATGCCCCCCCCCCGCAGCTCCACCCCCCCCTCTCCATGGATCCCCCCTCCCCACCCCAGCAGGAGGCGGCAGCGGAGGGGGCGTGGCCTCCCCTTGGCCCCGCCCCCTCCCTCCCCCTCCCTTCCCCTGACCCCGCCCTTCCCCGCCCTGGCCCCGCCCCTTTGCGCGCGGTCCTCCTCGGCCCCCCCGGCGTGGGCAAGAGCAGCCTGGCGCGCGCCTTCGCCTGGCCACGCCCCCCGGACACGCCCCCTCCCACCCCGGGGGAGGGGCCAGGTGAGTGACCCGGATGGGGCCCCATTGGGTTCTATGGGGGGGGGGCCTATAAGGGGGGTTTTGGGGTCGGAAAAGGGGGTTTTGGGGTCGGGAAATGACGTTTTTGGGGTCGGGGAAGTCGGTTTTTGGGGTAAAGAACACGGTTTTGGGGTAAAAAATAGGGTTTGGGGTAAAAGACAGGGTTTTGGGGTAAAGAACAGGGTTTTGGGGTCTAAACCCACAGTTTTGGGGATGAAAACCCGGGTTTGGGGTGAAAAACAGGGTTTTGGGAAGGGAAAACCCGGTTTTGGGGTAAAAAACACGGTTTTGGGGATGGAAAAGACGGTTTTGGGATCGAAAAAGCTGGTTTTGGGGTAAAAAACATGGTTTTGGGGATGAAAAAGGGGGTTTTGGGGTCAAAAAATGTCATTTTTGGGTCGGGAAAGCCTTTTTTGGGGTAAAAAACACGGTTTGGGGGTAAAAGGCAGGGTTTTGGGGTCAAAATCCACAGTTTTGGGGATTAAAACCTGGGTTTGGGGTGAAAAACATGGTTTTGCGGTAAAAACCACGGTTTTGGGCTCAAAAAAGTTATTTTGGGGTCAGAAACCCGGTTTTGGGGTCGAAAAAGTGTTTTTTGGGGTCGGAAAAACCGGTTTTGGGGTAAGAAACATGGTTATGGGGACAAAAAACCCGGTTTTGGGGTCGAAAAATATCATTTTTGGGGTCGGAAAAGCCTTTTTTGGGGTAAAAACCACTGTTTTGGGGTAAAAAACAGGGTTTTGGGGTCAAAACCCATAGTTTTGGGGATGAAAACCTGGTTTTGGGGTGAAAAACACGGTTTTGGGGACAGAAAACACAGTTTTGGGGTCGAAAAAGTGATTTTTGGGGTCAAAAAACCCAGTTTTAGGGTCGAAAAATGCCATTTTTGGGGTCAGAAACCCGGTTCTGGGGTCGAAAAAGTCTTTCTTGGGGTCAGAACAACAGATTTTGGGGTAAAACACATGGTTTTGGGGTAAAAACCTGATTTTGGGTTTCAAAAACCCCATTTTGGGGTCGAGAACCCCATTTTTTGGGTCGAAAAACCCATTTTTGGGGTCGAGAACCCCATTTTTTGGGTCGAAAAACCCATTTTTGGGGTCGAGAAACCCGTTTTTGGGGTCAAAAATCCCGTTTTTGGGGTCTAAACCCTTGATTTTGGGGTCGAAACCCCCTTTTTTGGCCTTTTCTTTGCAAGCAGAGCCCCCCCGCTCCCGGTGGCTGCAGGTGGATGGGGCCGAGGCGGCGCTGGAGCTGCACGATGGGGACGAGGAGGTGGGCGCTGATTGGCTGCTGAGGGGGGGGTTATGCAAATGAGGGCGGGGGTGGAGCACGTGACCCCGCCCTCTATGGTAATGAAGGGGGGGGGGCCAATGAGAGCGCTGCATGGAAATGAGGTTGGAGGGGGGGTGATGGGTTGCGTATGCAAATGAGGGTGGGTGGTATGCAAATGAAGGGGGGTGTATGCAAATGAGGTGGTTTCCATGCGGCACACGCGCATTGGAGGCTATGCAAATGGATGGCGCTCTATGGAAATGATGGGCTGTGTATGCAAATTAATGGCTGAATATGCAAATGAACGCCTTTATATGCAAATGAGTGACTATATGCAAATGACGGGCTGTGTATGAATATGAACGGCTCTCTATGGAAATGATGGGCTGCGTATGCAAATGAGGAGCTCTATATGCAAATATTGGGCTGTATATGCAAATGAACGGGTCTCTATGGAAATGATGGGCTGTGTATGCAAATGAATGCCTGTATATGCAAATGAATGGCTGTATATGCAAATGATAGGTTGGCTATGCAGTCGATAGCCTCTGTATGCAAATGAATGGCTGTGTATATGCATGCGAGTGGCCCCATATGCAAATGAATGGTTCTATATGCAAATGAGGGGCTGCGCATGCAAATAAGAAGCTCTATATGCAAATGAATGGCTTTATACGGTTCTGATGGTATACATATGCAAATGAATAGCGTCTATATGCAAATGAGCTGTATATGCAAGTGACTGGCTCTATATGGACTTGATGGCCTGTACACGCAAACGAATGGCTGCATATGCAAATGAGGGCCTGCATATGCAAATGAGCTGCTCTCTATGCACCCAATGGGGATTGGACAGAAGGGGGGGGGGGGTGAATGGAGCTCATATGGGGGGGGTGGCCATCACCTCTACATGCAAATGAGAACGGGTGTGGATATGCAAATGAGGCAGGAGGAGGGAGGGGATTGGATAGAGCAGGCCACTATGCTAATAAGGAGCCATTGACAGGTACGGCTTCCGCTATAAGGGAGGGGGCATGGCTATGCAAATGAGGGGGTGGAAGAAGCCACTAGGGGGCGCCATAGTGCCATTGTGGGGCTCATATAACTCTTATAAGGGACGGGCGTGGCTATGCAAATGAGGGGATGGGAGCGGCCACTAGGGGGCGCCATAGTGCCATTGAGGGGCTCATATAACCCCTATAAGGGAGGGGGCGTGGACATGCAAATGAGGGGTTAGAAGAAGCCACTAGGGGGCGCCATAGTGCCATTGTGGGGCTCATATAACCCTTATAAGGGATGGGCGTGGTTATGCAAATAAGGGCGTGTGAGCGGCCACTAGGGAGCGCCATAGTGCCATTGAGGGGCGCATATAATCCCTATAAGGGTGGGCTGGGCTATGCAAATGAGGGGATGGGAGCCGACACTAGGGGGCGCCATAGTGCCATTGAGGGCCTCATTTAACCCTTATAAGGGATGGGCGTGGCTATGCAAACGAGGGGATGGGAACGGCCGCTAGGGGGCGCCATAGCGCCATTGAGGGGCGCCTCTATGGGACTGAGCTCCATTCATCCCATTGCGCGCGTACGAATGGGCGCTAATGGGAAAAGGGGGGGGTGTGTGTCTATGCTAATGAGGTGGGCGTGTCTATGCTAATGAGCAGGCCGCAGCC